TTGCAAGATGATGGAGAGGATACTCCATCGTCGCCTTCTTCACACCATAGGCGGCTTCCACAACTCCCTCAATGGTTTCATTCAACATCGCAGCACAGCACACTCCATTGCTTCCTTTTATTGCAATCAGACTGCCCGCGTCTCCGTCTTCCTTGATATCAAGGGAGCCTTTGATACGGCTCAGCCTGCCCTCATTTTAGCTGAACTTGCGCGGTTAGGGGTTAAAGGGAGACTTCTACAATGGATCGCCTCTTACCTCACTGGACGTCAGGCCCGGGTTCGCGTTGAAGGCTCTATGTCTCCTGTTCAAGAAATGAACCTCGGCACCCCTCAAGGTGGAGTCCTGAGTCCCACCTTGTTTAACACTCTCATGCACTCCATTGCATCACTCCCGTGGCCGACAGAAGTTGTCCACTCAGGATATGCCGACGATGTCCTCCTCCAAGCCCCTGACTACCTCAGCATGCAGGAAGCCCTTGATCTGGTCTCCAGAGAGTGTGATTCACTTGGTTTCCTTCTTTCAACTGCGAAAACAAAAGCCATGTGGCACGGTCGTGTTGTACCTCCACCCCTTCTCTTATCAGGAACGCCCTTGGACTGGGTTAATGAGACAAAATACCTGGGTGTGTATGTAACTCGCACACGTTGTCAGATCCCTGAAGTCCGCTATCTTCGAGACATATGCTTTCGGCGTCTCGCTCCCCTCTCTACCATGTGCAGGGGTTCCCTTGGTGCCACCATCCCTGTACTTCTCACCATGTACAAGTCCTTTGTCCGTTCCTGTGTCGACTACGCCGCCCCTGCCCTCGTCAACATTAGTCGGACTGCTGTCAACCGTCTCGAAGTTATCCAGAGGAAAGCTGCTCGTATCATCCTTGGGGCTCCTCAGTGGACACGCTCTACTTCTCTATATACCGAACTTGGTCTTTCCCCCTTACAGGATCGTGTCCAGGAGTTTTACCTAAAAACTGCCGTTTCCATTCTACGGGATCCTAGGGGCAACTATGTCCAAACCAACTTGACTACTGCTGTCCGAGACCGACCTCCATCTAGAAGACAGTGGCGAGGGTCACTCATCCGAGCCCTTCAGGAACACGACCTCCTGCCTGATATTGTTGTCACCCCTGCTGTTGGTTCGTCTCCTTCTCCCTGGCTGGATTTTCAACCTGAAGTGATTGCCCTCGGTGGACCGCTCCCGAAATCCCAGGTGAACCCTGTTATTCTCTGCAAATACCACCTCTCCAGGATCGCTCACTGGTCCCCAGGTAGGGTCGTCCTCTACACTGATGGTTCTGTTGACCCCGCTACAGGTAGGGCCGGGGCTGGTGTCTACATCTCCCGTCCTCATGCCCCTGAGCCTATCAAACTGTCTCTCAGAGTTTCTGACGGGGCATCCTCCACTCAGGCTGAACTAATAGCCCTCCTTGCTGCCCTTCTCGCTGAGGAAGAAGCAGATGGTTTCTGCCCCTTGCTTGTCTGCTGCGATTCCAGGTCTGCTCTCGACGGGATCGCATTTGGATCAGGGGAAAATAAGGACCTCATCCTCCGAATACGAGGGTTAACATCCACACTTCAGGATGCAGGCCGTCCTGTGACATTCCTATGGATACCTAGTCATGTCGGTATCTTGGGGAATGAGGCAGCAGATGGCCTTGCCAAGACTGGCTGCAACAAGGCCACACCTGACTACGTTGTTCCTCGAACACTCTTACAGATTAGGACTCAAATCCGCCGCAAACAGAGAGAAGCTCGGGAAGCAGCCATCCCCCTGGACTCCCCGCCCACCTGGTACGATTTCCTCCGTAAACTTCCTGACCTCTCGTACGTCTACGGGAAAGGGTCGCGGAAGGGGGACGTGATTGCTGCCCGTATCATCATTGGGTATGACTTTGCTTGGGAGATTGGTATCCCCGCATCCCCTGAGCAACGCTCTTGTGTGTTATGCAGAAGACCCGACAGCCGCACCCTTATTCACTACCTCCTAAGATGTCCCCACACAACGCTTCCGTGACGCCTGCTGGACCACCACTCCACGACCCCCTGACGGAGACACGATGATCCTCCCAATACTGGCCAGATATTTTGTAAATAATATTGATTATGTGTTAAAGGAATATCCTTCCTTCCTTAGGCTTTAGTAAGCCTCTTTATAATATTTATACTGTATATACTTTTCACACTTGCCAGATGATTCTGGTGTCATTGTACAGGGGTACCTAGTGACAGCACTAGGATCCCGCTTCCTCTATCAAGGAATAAACAATTGAAATTGAAAATTGAATATATATATATATATATATATATATATATATATATATATATATATATATATATATATATATATATATATATATATATATATATATATATATATATATATATATATATATATATATATTATAACATATTTAACTCTTCTCAACAAATGCAAGGATGCTGCCCCGTGAGAGTTACCGTGGTCCTCCATGTGCCCAGGTGGGATGGTCAAAGTATTACACTATAAGTGTGTCAAATGAGGAGTGACTGATCCACATGTAATTTAAGGTTTTTGAAATATGTAGTTAAATTAAACACGTTTTTTCATATAGTTACGCGAATGATGGGAAATAAAAGATATAGATGGGGTGTGGTGGAATCATAGTGGTCTGGCCACAAGCGCTGTAAACGTTGTGTGGATTCACTGGGTGGTTTGGAAGTGTTTATTTCCATTCATACTTTCGTAACTACAACCTATGGTATTTTTTCTTCGTGTTCATATATAATGAAGATAATGCAGAGTATAAAATGCCATATACAATATTTATACATAATGCCATCTATACAGCCGTACTATGACTGTGTGTGTTCGTGGGTGTGTTGCCTCGTGAGAGTTTGAGTGGGCCCCCGTCCAGAAGGGACACTGTTCTAACTTCCAGTACCGACCCAGGTGGGCTAGAGGTTATGGTTTCCGAGTGTACAAGTGAAACCTGAGTGATATAAGCAGAGGCTTAAACCGACTTTGTTGATATCAGCGACTCTGCCTTGAATGTTAGTGATATATAGGTAATACTAAAGACACTACAATTTATATTTAATTCTTTATTTTCCACATTTTTCGAGTGCATATTGAGCTTTACTGTAAAATTATTTTGAGTTAAGTCTTTTGCCTCACTGTTTCATCACAAAATCTTTTGTTGCTGAAATGAACAGAAAGTTAATTTTCAGAAACAAAATACACTGTAAAGTTGCAGATATTAATTCGTATACGATATAATTTATCATTTAAGACGTCATTTAACAATATAAATAGCCAAATTATGCTTGAAATTGTTTAGGTTAGGTTTTGTATGAAACTCTTCATTTATAATTATGTATTTTGATGGTCTGCATGATCGTTTGCATCCAGTCAGACGTCTCCAAGGAGAATTACATAGAAGCTATAGCTATTCGGCACTTACCCCTATTTAGTATAACGTTATAATTATTTTATGAGATCCTGTGAGGTTACATATGTTCTCTAGAAAGTATTCCAGATATGAAATACGTGAGGTGCGTAGGAATTCCCGTCCACGAGTAATGTTCCGTGGAAAATAATAACAAAGTACTTGGGTTCAGGCTAACAAAGTACTTGGGTTCAGCCTAACAAAGTACTTGGGTTCATACAAAGGAGTGTTAGTTACAAGACTAGCGAGGTCATCCTAAAACTATATCTTGAGCTTGTGAGACCTCACTTGGATTAAGCAGTTCAATTTTGGTCACCGTACTCCAAATGGATATAGAATCCCAAGAAAGAATTCAGAGGAGAATGACAAGACTAATCCCGGGCATTAATAATCTTGAGTACAAAGAAAGGTTAAAGCATCATAATTTGCACTCCCTTGAGAGACGTAGAGTGAGGGGCGATATGATCTAGGTGTATAAATGGAAGTCAGGAGTAAACAAACGTGATATGACAAAGGTACTCAAACTATCCAACCAGGAGCGAACTCGTAACAATGGTCTTAAATTAGATAATATTTAGATTTAGGCGCGAAATAGGTAAACACTGGTTTGAAAATAGAGCAGTGGATGAGTGGAACAAGTTACCAAACATTATCACTAACTCGAATACGCTGGATAACTTCAAATATAGGTTGGATGAATATATGAGCGATAAGGGTTGGGTGTAAATGGGACTGCCCAGAATGGGCCAATAGGCCCGCTTTAGTTTCCTCCATTCTTATGTTTTTATGTTTCCTTTGTTTACTTTTTATGCAAGTTGAGGTTATGAATGAGTGGGTATGTGTGTGTCTGATGTCTGTGTACAATGTTCTCTACTTTTTTCAGCCCATTCCTCTCCTTCCTCACTTTTCTTCAACTAATCTCCTTTCTTCAAGTTTCTGATTGGAGGAAAAATAATAAACAGATCAACAAGAACTTTCACGAAACACAGGGAGTTACCAGGGCTCTGGAATTTGTAACCCATGGTGAGGTATTGAAGTACTAATATTGTTGTGGACTTGTGACATGTGACATGCCCCAGTTTGGAAACTCTCTGTGTTTGTCTTAAACTCACCCCATTTGTACTGTTATTATGACTGTGTAGGGCCGATCCCCGTTCCAGAGGACCGCTGGGTTTTCCAGAATTTGTAATTTCTTGACCGATAATTTGTGTCATTTGTGGCTAAATCTGAACAAAAGGCTATCTTAGCGTGATTGAATTACACAAGGCTTGTCTCGATGTCGACCGAGTCTTGCCAGTCCTGTTTCTGTATTGGCCGAATCATGCGAGATTTGTAACGATATTTGCCGAATCCTTAGAGACATAGCAGTGTCTTCGAATTTTATAAATATCATTCAAATACCGACTAGGATCTCAGAACCCAGCAGGAGTAGCCCAAACTTGCCTCTGTTGTTCATGACTTAACAGTGACATCAAGAAGATCCTCTGGATGTGTTTGATTCTGCTCTAACACCCAGGATTCCCCGGTGTGAAGCAGCCTCCGAGGGTGTCGTGACTGACTGTCACAACCATGTTGCAGGGTGCCAGGGGTGAGCGGGGCAAGCGAGGTAAACGAGGTCGTCGCGGCAAACCTGGGCCTCCCGGGTCCCTAGGTGACCTGGGCCTACCGGGATGGCCGGTAAGTGTCGCCTCTTCCACCACATTCACAACCACACTTTAGCATGATGCATCTCTGAAAGATCTGTAAACATTCCAGATATTAATCTTAAGGTACAGTATCTCAAAAAAGTATCTGTCCACACTTTGTGTGAAACATTATGAGACCATGGATGATAGATATCGGGACATGCATTTGCTTTGGTATATAGTTTAGCATTATAGTTTAACATAAGTAATGCAATGTGTATATATTTCAGCGTAAGTAATATCATGTTCGGTTACCACAGAGCCACTCATACCATCCCTCCCGGGACATCACGAGTTGCATGTAGCATTTCAAAAGTAATCGAACCCATCCTGGCAGATACTTTTTGAGATACTGTACAATACATACAATAACAACATGCATTCAGCTTTCTCATAAAATTATAACTTACCCATACTTGGATGAAGTAATTACATTCTGAATTAACGATTTCATGAAACTGCCACATGAGTAGGCCTTGTAATTTTTATAACATTTGGCTGATCTGTTAGTGGTGAATATAAAAGTAGGAGCTTAAGTCAGGCCTTCATACAGTGTACTAATCACCATCATCACCCCCTGGCTGGCTGGTGCAGAATGACACATACATCGTGAGTATCTGACTATCACAACTTCATTCCATAGAATTTTACCAATAGTTTAGTAGTGCTTTTTAGTGTATTTAATAGAGATTACTAGTATGAATTTTTTAATTGTTTTGATAATAACAAATTGATTGGCTGTTGATATTTGTCTAGAATCAGTGTTTCCAGGTAACAATGGTTGATATATACAGTACACACACATATATACTGGGTGATTCAGCAAAAAGTACATTAAATTGGCGGATGAAACCTTGGTAAATTCTAAACCACAATGTCTTAAAGGTAAAATGTCAGATTCTGCATAGTTTCCATGTTACAATACATTTAAGATGTTGTATTAATGAGAGTGAATTTAAAGTGAAACCTCCAAAGGTTTTTGTAGTCATTTATTCACAGATCTCTACAGTGTGACCCCTCTTTGTTACAGCCTAAAGGAAATGTTCAAAGTTGCCCCCTTCTGCCTCAATGCAGGCCTGTACACGTCGTACCATTGATTGTTTGACTTGTTATAGAATGTTTAATTTGCTCGCACCTGTCACGAACACGTGGGCATATGCAGAATCTGACATTTCACCATAGAGACATTGTGGTTTAGAATTATCCAAGGATTCCATCCTCCAATTTAAAGTACTCTTTGCTGAATCACCATACTGTGTATATATATATATATATATATATATATATATATATATATATATATATATATATATATATATATATATATATATATATATATATATATATATATATATATATATATATATATATATATATATATATACAAGTAAATCACTGTAGGTTACATTATATATATATATATATATATATATATATATATATATATATATATATATATATATATATATATATATATATAATTGACAATTACACTATCATTCTTTTATATAATAATAATACTATTGTTAATATCATTACTATTATCTTATCTTGTGACACCCAGCAGAGCACACCTAGCATAGCACACACAGGTGTTACAAAGTAAAAGCGCCAGCTTGCATTGCAACCCATTTCTTCATAAAAAGGCTTCGGCTTATTGCACTGGAATTATAATTCCTCCAGCTTTATTATGTGATGCTATGCTTAATAAACTATTGGGGTATTGGCCACCTGTGGTTTAATGGTCAGTATGCTCACCTCGCAAGCGAATAGACCCGGGTTCGATCCCCGGGCAAAGTGAAACTATGGGCAAGTTTCTTTATGCCATATGCCTCTGTCTACCCAGCAGCAATTGGGTACCTGGTGGTTAATCAATTTGCTGATCGTGTTCTTGGGTAATTGTTAGCGAGTTGTCCGGTTTTCTCGGACTGTTCCTTGACCCCAGGTCATACAGCTCGCTGACTCAGGGTGTGGTTATTGTGTTGTCGACAGCTTCTACACCTTAAACAAATTCATGACTAGGTGGCCCTAGGACCGGCCATCCTCGTTTTTGAGGGGCATCCATTAATTTACTATATCACGGTATTATACCTATGTCCAGTTATTATAACGCTGTATAAATAATAAAAGTAGTATGACTCAGTATAATTAATTGTGACATTACTTGCAGCTTTTGAGTACCGTAACAAGTGTTAGTCTATGACATTATAGAGAGAGTTATTATGGAACATTCAACAATTTCCGTCATCTGAATAAACTTTGTCCACGGCTGTACCCAGGGCACACCAGGACGGCCAGGGCCCCCAGGACCTCCAGGTGTCGGGCAGAAAGGTGAACCAGGGCCCCCGGGACCTGCAAGTGGTGGCGGCAGCTTCTTCAACGGAATCCTGGTGAGTCATTCCTCCAGTATACTGATTCAAGAGCACTCCCCCGATACAATGACTCTGTAAAACTCCTCCACTACACTATCTATATAACACTCCAGTACACTATCTAACTTAAAACAGTTAATAAGCGACTTATTTTGGATGAAATGCGCAGAGCATCCAGACATAGCAAACTCTGTACTGTATAGTAGGCGACTTTAACTTTAGTCAAATAGATTGGATCCTCTAATTTTGAGTTACCCGTAAGGGTATCTCAGAATCAGAGGATTTTCGTGAAACAGTTCAGGACTGTTTCTTAAGTCAACATAGCCAAACCCACCGACGATAATAATATACTCAATTTAGTTCTGTCAAACAGAGAAAACCTCATTAGTATGTGGAGGTAGGAACGAACTCGCTAACACCAATAAAAATATAAGAATATAAGAATGGAGGAAATTGCAGCGGTCCTATTGGCCCATACTGGGCAGCCCCGTTACACCCAACCCCTATCGCTCATATATCCATTTAACCTATGTTTGAAGCTATCCAGCATATTCGAGTTAATGATGATGTTTGGTAACTTGTTCCACTCATCCACGACTCTATTTCCAAACCAATATTTACCTATCTCGCACCTAAATCTAAACTGGTCTAATTTAAAACCATTGCTACGAGTAGGATAGTTTATGTACCTTTGTTATATCACGTTTGCTTAGCCCTGACTTCCAAAAATACACCTCGATCATATCGCCCCTCACTCTACGTCTCTCAAGGGAGTGCAACTTAAGATGCTTTAACCTGTCTCTTTACTCAAGGCTCCTCATGCCCGGGATTAGTCTTGTCATTCTTCTATGAATTCTTTCTAGTAATTCTATACCCATTCTGTAGTAAGGTGCCCAGAACTAAACTGCGTAATCCAAGTGAGGTCTCACAAGCACAAGAATTAGTTTTAGGATAACTTCGCTAGTCTTTTAACTAACACTCCTTTGTATGAACGCAAGTACTTTGTTAGCCTTTTTTCGTGCAAATACACATTATTCACTTGGTTTAAGATACCTACTTATCATTACTCCTAAATCTTTCTCACAGTCGGATATCTCAATAACAACGTTGTTCATCTGATATCTGTTTTAGCTCCAAGACTAAATACTTTACATTTGTCCACATTTAATTTCATCTGCCATTTTTCAGACCATTCGATTTTTTTTTTCGATCTTCCTGAAATTTGCAAAGTCCTCTTCAGATTTTAATTACATGCCCTATTTTAGAGTCATCAGCAAATTTACGTATGTTGTTACCTACGCTTATATCTATATATATAAAACAAAGAAGTATGTCTGTGTGTTTGTTTGTGTGTTTGTGTGTGTGTCCGCACGAGAATCTCGGAAACTAATTTATCGATCTGTAGTGATGATGGATGGTGTTATATGTAGTGATGATGGATGATGTTATATGTAGTGATGATGGGTGGTGTTATATATAATGATGATTAGACAATAAAATAATAACAGTTTAATGCTAAAAAAATATACTTTGCTCTACCGTTGCAGTGAAAAACATGGTGGAACTTACATACACTGTTAATGAACTATTGATGGAAGAAGAAGTTTTGGGGACTGAACAGTGAGACAATGTGGAGCCTCCCGGAGGGCGGCGTCCTACAGTGGCGTAGCGGATGAGCCTCCCGGAGGACGGCGATTCTGCTAGTATATATATATATATATATATATATATATATATATATATATATATATATATATATATATATATATATATATATATATATATATATATATATATATTTATCGTTTTTTAATATAATAAAAAATAATGGTCCAAGCACTGAGCCTTGGGGTACTCCACAAGTGACGTTACCCAAATCGGATTTAGTGCAGTTAATGCTTACTCGCTGTTTCCTGTCCTGTAGCCACTCCTTAATCCATTTTGCAATATCTCCTCCAATTCCATAAGCCTCCACTTTTCGTGTTAGTCTTTTGTAGGGGACTCTGTCGAATGCTTTGCTAAAGTCGAGGTTCACCACATCATAATCGTGCCCGTTGTCTACTTATTCAAAAAAAGCTGAGAAGATTGTTAATGGATTAGTCAGACATGAACGCTCACTAGTGACGCCATGTTGAGAATGATTGATCAACTTGGGATTCTCCAGGTGATTTCGAATTTAGTTTGAAATTATTGCTTCCAACAATTTGCCTTCAATTAATGTTCAACTCAATGGATGGTAGTTAGAGGATAGCCATCTATCTCCCTTCTTTAAAATCGGCATCACATTCCCTATCCTCTGGCATACTACGCTCTTCCTTGCATTCCTTTAATACTTTGACGAATATCTCATCTGGACCTAGTGACTTATTGGGTATGAGCTTGTCTATTTGGTCATTAACAAAGTCATTAGTCACTACTATCTCTCTTCATCTATTTTTTCACTATCTCTGTTTATATTCGGTGCCTTCGTTATCATGTTTAAATTTTCAGTGGTGAAAACTGTTGAAAAATATCTCTTCAGATTATTGCTCATTTCTCCGTCGTTATCCATTGGCTCGCCTGTATCTGCTTGTATCAGTTGTGCAAGGTCACGGGCGATTTTAGTCCTGGGGATTAATTTTCCGTAATGGCTAGTGTTTGTTGTTAGCAGGTCTATGCCTTTCTGAGGGCTGAGTTAGTGAAGGTGAAGGACGAAAACTTGATATTAAAGGAAGTGATTGCGAGAACAAAAGAGGAACACACGAGACAACGAAAGCCCGTGCCTGACGAAGACAAGGGCGAATGGAGTGTTGTGAGGAGAGGAACGACCAAACAGGTGGTGAGAAAATACATCAAGTAATCCACAACAGCTAAGTGTAATAACTCTTTTAGTCTTTTGATAGACGAATTGGATTGAGCTTTTTGTGCTAAAAATAAAAATAGGATGTGAGTGTGTTTGTCAGGAGCTGGGTGGGGGATATAGTTGACAGGATGGACAATATCTTGTCTGGTAATGGGAACAAACCCATTATCTGTCTCAGTGCCAGAGGCAATGATATTGGCGGGTGTAGGAGTGACGAGCTTCTTGATAAGTTTAAGACAGCTATAGAACTTGTTAGGTCTAGGGGAGGGATCCCTATCATATGTGGTGTCCTGCCTAGAAGGAGAGTTGGCAATGAATGGTTGTCAAGTTCAGTTGGTGTCAACGGCCGTCTTGACAGATATTGCAAGTCAATATCAGTCCCAGTCATTGACAACTGGGACAACTTCTACGGCAGAACTGACCTTTATGCTAGGGATGGGGTGCATCTGTCTAGGGATGGAGTGGTTACCCTGGCTGGGACTCTCGAAAGGACAGTCCAAAAGATGTCGAAGTCTTTAAACTGCTAGGGGAACATGTGAGCACGGGGGTGGAGGAGACTGCAGTGGAAGCGGGTAAACAAAGTGAAAGGTTACAGGGAAATAGTGTTATGAATGACGACAAAACTAAATTAGACAGCGAGTTAAAACCTAAACGCGGCAAAGGGAGGATTCAGAGCACGGCTAAATTAAATGTCTACTACGCGAACAGTAGAAGTATGAGAAACAAAATGGATGATATTAGGGCCTTGGTATGTACCGAAAAAATCGATAATAGCATTCACTGAAACATGGATCAACCTAGACTCACGTGAGTTACCTGTCGAATACCAAATTGCAGGTTACAAATTATTCCATACCGATAGGCAGAATGGGAAAGGAGGGGGAGTAACAATCTATGTCAGGGATAATCTGAAGTGTGAAATAAATAAGGAAATAGAAACTGAGCGAAATACAGAAACAATTTGGATAGAATTAATCGATGGTAGGGAAAAATTAATCACAGGAGTAATATATAGACCTCCCAATCTTGATAGAGTTAATGAGCGACATATTTGGGATGAAATGCGCAGGACTTCCATACACGACAAAGTCTGTATAGTAGGCGACTTTAACTTCGGCCAAATAGATTGGATTGATCTTACGGGTAACTCAGAATCAGAGAATTTTCTTGAAGCAATCCAGGACCGTTTCCTAAGTCAACATATAACCAAACCCACCCGGGGTAATAATATACTCGATTTAGTTCTGTCGAACAGAGAAAACCTCATTAGTCATGTCGAGGTAGGGAACGAACTTGCAAACAGAGACCACAAAGAAATTAGATTCCAGTTAGATTTTCAGGGCAGCCGTAAGGAAAATTCCACAAAGTCCCAGATTTCAGAAGGGCAAACTTTGATAGTTTGAAGAGGCAGTTGAGAGAAGGGGGTATCACGCTTGGGGGTGAACTACTTGGACTTGACTATTGAAACCGACCTGATAACGAGATCTGAGGTTGCCGAGTTCCACGACAAATTAAATAATGAGTTACTTAATGCACAAAGGCAGAACATACCATACAAAAAACTCAGATCAAACAACAATGACCCTAAAGGGATAAATAATTATTTAAAGAACATTATTGGTCAAAGGAAGGCTATAGGTAGGAGGGTAAATCGTGGCGAAATTACCTCCGGGATTATTATAAGGTATTAGCCGGTAGGGTTAAGACCGAGATAAGGAAAGCAAAGAGGAATAATGAGCTGAGGATAGCAAGGGAGGCGAAGACAAATCCCAAGTGATTCTATCAAATGTATCAAACTAAAACATGAGAAAAGATTGGGCCAATACAGTCAGATACCGGCGAGCTAACTGATAACGACGGAGAAATGAGCAATAATCTGAATAAATATTTTTCAACAGTTTTCACCACCGAAAATTTTAACATGATACACCAGGCACCGACTCTATTCAGAGATAGCTAAGAAAACAAATTAAGCTAGATAGTAGTGACTAGTAACGATGTTAGTAAGCATAGACAAACTAAAGCCTAATAAGTCACCTGGTTCCGATGAGATATTTGCCAGAGTATTAAAGGAATGTAAGGAAGAGCTTAGTATGCCCTTAGCAAAGTTGTTTAACATGTCCTTAAAAACAGGTGTAGTACCAGAACCCTGGAGGATAACGAATGTAATGCCGAT